TTGGGTTTAATGTCCTTGATCAGTTTTCTAACTTTTAATACTAACATCACGAAATCTGCAGATAATTATATTTTATCAAAATGGAATGCTTCTTAGTTCCAGGAATAATCTATTCTGCTCATCAACAATTTTCTTTCAAATTTGCAGGAAAGTTCGGCATAAGAATGTTGTACAATTTATTGGTGCATGTACCAAGCCGCCAAACTTGTTTATTATAACAGGTACCCTACTGATTCTTTAGTTGTCTTTATTAGTTTGATGAAAGTGAAATTTATGGTTACTGATCTTTCTCACTTGGTTATTCTTTTGTAATTTAAAGAAAATGCTAATGTTAGTTTTATTTCCGTCTTTTCTCTCTGCAGAATTTATGTCTGGTGGAAGTGTATATGACTACCTTCACAAACACAAGGGTGTTTTCAAGCTTCCTACCTTGCTTAAAGTTGCAATAGATGTTTCTAAAGGAATGGACTACTTGCACCAAAATAATATAATCCATAGGGATTTGAAGGCTGCCAATCTTCTAATGGATGAAAATGAAGTAAGATGATTAAAGTTGCTAAAGTTTATACATCGAATTTGACTTAAGCTTGTCTCTAGTTGCTTCTTTCCTGAAATCTTGCTTGGGAACAATTCATTGTGGCTAAATTCTAAGACGGGCTTTGCATTACAGGTGGTTAAGGTCGCTGATTTTGGGGTTGCTAGAGTGAAAACTCAATCTGGAATTATGACAGCTGAAACTGGAACATACAGATGGATGGCTCCTGAGGTGAGGTCTTATTGAAAAAGCTGTTTGAAACTGTTTCATGAATATCCCTAACTCTCTCCTTTGGGTGTCCCACGGATTATAATAAAGGATTCAACATCACAAGCAGTGTACCATGTTCTAGGAATGTGGTTCGGCTTGATGAAGCTAGCCGATCCAGTCAGTTAAATTTTCAGTAAAAGTTAATTAGAGACCTGAAGTCATTGATGAACCATGATATAAGTTTTCTTCATTTACTTTCTTAACCCTAGTTTAAAGCTATGCGAAGAATTTAGTTATATTGTGTTGGTAATTTGAAGTTCGTAATTTTTCCTCCTAGATGTGAGATTTTGGAAAGGAAAATAACATTTTTTAAAGGAACATTCAGGAATTGGTTTATTTGCCTCTTTGTCTTCACTTGTGTTTCTTTATTATGACCAGAAAGGAAAAAAGAGGCTTGTAACTTGATGAATTTGCTCTCTTTATTCATTCTTGGTTTTATCTTCCTCTTTAAATAATTGATACAACATTAATCCATTTGAGTTGATATTCATTCCTCCCTAATTGATTGTTCATCTGCTTTTGCAATGAAGGTTATTGACACAAGCCATATGATCACAAGGCTGATGTTTTAGTTTTGGAATTGTACTATGGAATTGTTAACTGAAAGGTATTTTCTTGGTCGCTATGATTTCTTTGATATGGTATACTTATACCTGAAGATGCTTCCGGTTTGTTTTGGTTAGTTTGTGGCTCCTGTGGTTACTTTCTTTTGTTTGCATTTTCAGATTCCATACGAGTTCTTAACCCCATTACAAGCTGCTGTTGGAGTGGTTCAAAAGGTATGCCTTCTGTCTGTATCAATAATCTTAAGGTTTTCTTCCCTCCCTCGGGAACCTAAAAGAAAACAGGTTATAGAATTTTTCATGAAAAATTGACAATGAAAAAGCCATTGGAGGGTTACTTTTGTAGTGCTTAGACCAGCTGTGAACACTTTTTTTTTTGTTCACATTGATTCTAGGGTCTACGTCCTACAATTCCAAAGCACTAACCCGAAACTCACCGAACTGCTCGAGAGATGCTGGCAACAAGATCCATCACTAAGACCCGATTTTGCTGAAATTATAGAGATTTTACAGCAAATTGCCAAGGAGGTTTGTGAATACAGTTCATGCACTCCCTTCTCTTTTCCCTTTTCCCTTTTCGAAAACACAATCTGGACAGCGAGCTTCCAGTCTGTGAATACCAATGATGAAATATGAGCAACGATATCAATTTTAACACTGGATGGATCTTTAAAACAGGTAGGAGATGAAGGCGAGGATCGACGTAAATCTTCGGCAGGATTTTTCTCCGTCCTTATAAGAGGCCACCATTAAAGACAGACATGTTTATAACCTGAACACAAAGCTTTTTAGCTATGTTAGCCTGGCCATTCCCAGCATTTTCATCAGCATTGTACAGTATTTTTTAAGGTCATCTACAACCATGTCAATCCTTCAATCTTGAGGTAAAAAGAAAAGGTTGCATTTTGTAGATATCGCAGTTCGACCTCTTAATCTTATTGAATACAGTAATTGCATGGTGGGAGAAGTTTCAGGTTCGGTGTGAGTTTTCCTTTTATAACAATTGGCCCTTTTTCGGAGCTGTAAAATCCGCGCCAAATCATTGTAAAATGTCGACTCGATTTGCATATTGTTCCATCCCATTTATCTCTTTTGAAACATTTTTATTATTATTTTGTTAATATATTTAACTTTTGTAACTCGGTCGACTTTTTTACTAACTTTGTTCAAGGGGGGCGGGGGTCTAACGCTTTGTTCCGAAGGAATTTTAGAAAAGTTTTACGGTGCGACACTTTAATATAAGATTAAAATAATATATTATCGGTTTTGTTATCATTTAAATAATAAAATCGGTAAAAATTATTTAAAATATTATTATTTTTATCTAAAACATTAATTTTTTAATATTTTTGGTAAAAATGTCTAACAATAACAAAACCGATAAAAAAATAACAAAACCGACAGCGTTTTTATAAATCTGGTAAAACGTCCAATAATAATGAAATCGGTAGAAATAATAATATTTTTTGTTATTTTTTACCAGTTTTATTATTTAAATATTAATAAAATTAGTAATATTTTTTTAATCGTATATTAAGATTATCGCACGTAAACTTTCCTAAATTTTGAGAATAATCTACGCTTTGAAATATAGGTGTTTTAAAATAATTTTGGGATCAAAGCCTTTTCTACCGTGAATGTGGAATTTGTTATGTCATATTAACGCGATGCGTTTAATAATATATATTAAAAAATTCAATAATATATATTAAAAAAATTCAACTCGTCATATGAAATGAAATAAAATTGCATGAAATATGTTACATTCACATGATGAATTTGAATTTTTTAATATATTTTTCAGTGCTCGTAACGTTTACATAATTAGTTTCACGTGAACTGTAACATATAATATGAATCTAAAAACAATTTTCCAACACCCCTAATTTAAAAAAAAAAAAAATCCCGCCTGGTCTATATAGCCAACGGAGCCGTTTTGTTCCATCAATTGATTTTTTTGTAAAAACAAACAATAAACTACACCAAATATCACTCATCTTTAGGTGATGAATGGTTTGTACCATTGAACTTTCAATTGTTTCAATTATAGTACTAAATTTTGGTTTTAGTTATAGCATTGAATCGTTAAATTTTAAGGACACAATGATTTGGATGAATCTTTCTATCCGCGTGTCGATGTAGACAAAACAACATCATTTGGCATCTATTAATACCCAAAATGATATCGTTTTAAACATTAAACATTATGGATGTATCAATTTTATCATTAAACTTTAAAAATATTTAGTTTTAACCTTTTTAGGCACTAAACCTTTCTTTGCTTTTCGCTGGCAATTAATTGTCTCCTATCACTAATCGTCATTCTCAACAAGATTGACATCAAAACATTCACATTTTTATAATCTTTTTTTTCTTCAGTTTTCCATAAAACATACTCAAAATTAACGAAAATCATCTAGTTTTGAAGTATGATGTTCGTCTTCTCAAAATAATATTTCTTACTACTCAGATTTGCGAACAAATACTTCAAATATCTCAAATTCGAGAAAGCCTCCAAACCCTTAAAAATGGTAAATTTTTTGTTTTATTTTGTCAATTTTAAGTAAGTTCCATGAAAAATCGATCATATGCGAAGGAGGAGTGAAATGTGAGTGTTTTGAAACAAATCTTATCACAAATGATGATCGATGAAGGATGACGATTCACTGGATGAAAAGTTTAGTGCACAAAAGTGAACCGTTTAAAAGTTTAGTGGTAAAATCAATAGACTACTAAAATCTAATGCCTAAAACAAATATTGTTCCAGACCTCAATAGTCATACCAAAACGATGACATTTTGTTCACATTATCATGTCCTTAAAATTTTAATGGTTCAATGTAAGGTTGAGCAACAAAACCGAGGAAAGCGAAAAATCGATCCGAACCAGAGCATGTGATTCGGTTAGGTTCCGGTTTTTCAATTTGCAATTCAATTTCGGTTTGATTTAAAAAAATAATATACAATTGGATTCAATTTCAGGTTTTCCATATGAAAAATGTTTGAATTGAATCAAATCAAATTAAAACAAATAAAAGAAAAGAAATATCCAAAAATTCATTTTAAATTTATTATAAGACAAATTTAAATAAATAAAATCTTTAAATTAATAATATTTTTTTATAAATTTAAATTTATATATTTGCACTCGATTTAAGCTTTAAATTTGTTTTTTTTAAGATTGAATTTGAAAAATACTGAACCGTAAAAAATCACAAAACCAAACCAAAAACCGTGATTTATGCCATTCTTTTTTTACTTTAATTTTAAAAACCTCGCAAAGTTCGATTTGATTTATATTTTAATAAAAATCGAATCGAACCGAATTGAATACACTATTTATTTAATGTTATAAATAAAAAAGTGGAGAAAAATGGAAGTAGACATTTGAATTTGATTGGCCAAATGTCTCACCTTTATTTACTCATATAATTAGCAACAACGGTGTGGCCATGCATTTTCTCTGTCTCTGTCGTCTTCAACGCCACCTTTTACTCTATCTTCATATCCATCCTCCTCTCTTTCTCAACCGCTTTCCATTTTTGGTATGCTACAATTCACACATTTCTTCCCTCAAATCTTTTAAGAGGCCTCAAACCCCACGTTTAATATCGAAGAATCTGAAACCTTTTTTTCCTCTCTCTCTCGCTGCAGTGCAGCGATTGCATTCATGGCCTTCATTGAAAACGAACCATCAATGTCTAAATGAAGGCCTTATCGTCGTCGTCAAACTCGTCGTAGGACGTAAAAGCAGGCAGAATAGGCAGCAATAAATCCAGAACCGAAGAGCTTCCGATTCTATCCGATTTTGATAGCCACGAGGAAGCGTTAGTCGCCATGGGTGGCGATCCGACGAAATATTCGGAGCCGGAGGAGTCCAGGACGGGCGGCAACAGAGATTTGAACCAAGATCTGAGTTTTAGGCAATCTGAGGTAGAGTTCTGGAGCGACAGGGGAGAGAGGAACAACGGCGGTAACGGTAGCTTCGCTTACGCGCAAGGGTGGCAACCGGGGGAGGAATCGCCGACGTGGAAGAGAATGAACGATCATCTCATGAACAGAAGCAATGAGATTACATTAGAGATGGGATTAGACTTAGACGAACTTAAACGCGACCCGTCCTCAACTCTAAACTCTAGAAAGGTTTCTTTCGAAACCTCCGGCGTGAGTTTCAACACCCAAACGCAACAAAAAGACGGAGGAATAAATGATCAGACCGATGATCAGTCGAGACACATATCGAACGTGTCGGCTCCTCTATTCGGAAAATCGGGTTTGCGACCGGCGTTGAAGAGCACCAAGTCAAGGCTTATAGACCGGTCAGAGGAAGAGGCACAGTTGATGTCCGGTTTGTTAGAAAAATCCGGTCAGCTTAAGTCCGGTATGCTCGGTAAAGCGTCGGAAAACGAAGAAGAAGACGACCCTTTCACGGACGATGTTTTGCCTGATAAATTCAGGAGAACCAATCTTAATGCATTCACATGGGTTCAAATTGTGAGTCTTTTTGTCATTGTTGCTGCTCTGCTTTGCAGCTTGTTCATCCCTTCATTGAAAGTAATTGACCTATGGGAGCTTGAGCTATGGAAATGGTTAGTGTTCTTGCTGGTTTTGATCTGTGGAAGATTGGTTTTGGGTTGGGGAATCCGAATCCTCGTTTTCTTCATCGAGATGAACTTCTTTTTGAGGAAAAGGATGTATTTCGTGTATGGGTTAAGAAAACCGGTCCAGAATTGCTTATGGTTAGCCCTAGTTCTTCTGGCATGGCGTTTCTTGTTCGACAAGGAAGTCGAGAGGACAAGCGTATTGCTTCAATACGTTTCCGAAATCCTCATATGCTTGTTGGTGAGCTCGTTCTTGTGGTTACTCAAGACACTGCTAGTAAAAGTACTGGCTTCATCTTTTCATCTCAGTACTTATTTCGATAGGATTCAAGATACATTGTTCAACCAATACGTGATCGCGACGCTCTCCGGTTCTCCGGTGATCGAAGTCCAGAGGACGGAAGAGAAAGACGAAAGAACGGCAGCCGAGATCAGAAGGTTGCAGAATGCGGGTGCAACCGTGCCTTCGGATCTTCGCGACAATGCCTTCCCACAGCAGACTAGTGGGGTGTTGAAGAAAACACTCACCAGGCTCAAAACGCTTACTCAGCAAGATACGTCGAAGAAAGAGGACGTCGGGATCGCATTAGAGCATGTACATAAGCTTAATCAAGAGAACATCTCGGCTTGGAACATGAAGAGGTTGATGAAGATGGTCCGATACGGGACGTTGACGACATTGGACAAGCAAGTGATGGAACACGATTCGGTGAAACAGATCAGAAGTGAACATGAAGCAACGGCGGCTGCCAAGAAGATTTTCCACAACGTGGCTCGTCCTGGGTCCAAGTGAGTATTCTTGGTTGATTAGTTTACGAAAATGAAGTTGTTTTCCAAGTTAAAGATCAAATCGAAGTTGTTAAGGAACACTCTTGTTTTTACTTGTTTTGGTTGATAGATTTATCTACTTGGAGGATTTGATGCGGTTTATGCGAGAAGACGAAGCTTTGAGGACAATGGCTACCTTTGAAGACGCTTACGAGCATGGCAGAATCAGCAAAAAATCCTTGAAGAATTGGGTGGTAAGACATATTGGAACATTACTTACAATCGAATCTATTCATCTTCTAACCCGTTAATAACCATCAATCCTATGACTAACACCAGACATGAATCTAAAGTATTGATCATTTATTACAAGGTTGAGTAATTAACTTGTAAAGAGAGATTGACTTGAGCTATTCGTTTCAGTTGAATGCCTACAGAGAACGGAAAGCCCTGGCTTTGACCCTAAACGACACAAAGACGGCAGTGAACAAGCTTCACAATATCATAAACGTCATTGTCGGAATCATCATACTCATAATATGGGTTGTCGTTCTGGAAATCGCTTCCTCAGAGCTCATCGCGCTCCTCAGTTCCCAGCTGCTCCTCGCAGCCTTCATCTTCGGCAACACCTGCAGAACGATCTTCGAATCCATAATCTTCTTGTTCGTCATTCACCCTTTCGACGTCGGCGATCGGTGCGAGATCAACGGAGTGCAGGTACAATACAAAAGAAAATCCCATTAGCCGAATCACTTTTATCTGAGAGGCAATTATCCCTACCGAAAGTTTTAAATTATCGTATTATTTTAAATATTTTCTTTATATCTTTCATTGATAATATATTCTGAAAGTTTGTTCCTTGACCTAAAATCTTACGTGGTTTTTGTGTTTATAACCTGTTCTAAACATGTATGGGTGGTTTTAGCTTGTGGTGGAAGAGATGAACATTTTGACGACCGTTTTCTTGAGAAACGACAACATGAAGACGACGTTTCCCAACAGCGTTCTCTCGACGACGCCTATAGGCAACTATTATCGAAGTCCAGACATGATTGATCTCATTGAGTTCGCGGTCCACGTTGCTACTCCGGTGGAAAAGATTGCTCTCGTTAAGCAAAGAATAATCAAGTACGTTAAATTATCGGGTAAACTATGTATTTGGTCACCCATCTATCTTCATGATTCCGTTTGTCACCCAACTATTTTTTCTTCCAAAATCATCCCTGACGTTACAGTGATGTTGACACGTCACCATAAGGTAATGCCAAGTAAAAAATCGTCACGTTAGCAATTTGTTTATTTTTTAATGGCGGGTGACTTAAACAAAATTGAAAAAAAAAATAGTCGGGTGACTGAAAGCTGGATTGTGAGAATAGGTAAGTGACTAAATACATAGTTTACCCAAATTATTACATGAGATTTGTTCACATCATCGATGATCTCAACAAGGACTCATGACCGTCTCAAATCGTTATTAGTAGGAACGAATCGTACCGATAACACGAACACATTTTCATTTCGTTTGCAGTTATATCGTTAACCGGAAGGACCATTGGTGTGCCGATCCATTGATCGTGATAAAAGATTTAGACGACTTGAGTCGGATAAAATTTTCACTTTTGGCGACTCATAAAATGAACTTCCATGACATGGGAGAGAGGCTGGAAAGGAGATCTCGACTGGCCGAAGAAATGGTGAACATCTTCAAAGAATTAGACATCGAATACCGTTTGTTGCCCGTTGCCGTTAATATCTGCAACCTGCCTAATTCCTCCCGTTTCCCTTCCACATGGACCGCGGCCGAAAGTTCCGATAAGATCGACTGACGGCGAGATTGACCCGGAGATTATAACAATTACGGTGATCGAATTAATTGTTGTAACGATAAGGTTAAAGATTTTGTCACCAAAATTAACATTAACAGTGGAAATATGTGCTACTGTATACAGGGACTACATCAAACTCCCTCTTCTCCAAATTCTTTAAATACCGGTGAACTTGTTATTTTTTTCCCAAAAATAATTAATAAATTTATTGTTTGATTGCTTAAGGCAATTTTAATTGAATGGTTATAATCTTTATTGGTCATATGCTTGTCCATTGAGAGACTATTTTATTGGGATTTGTTATTTTTTTTTTGGTAATGTGATTTTGTTAAGTCTGATGGTAACGGTGTTTGGTTATTCGGTTGTATTTGGGTAGTCATTAGTTATGAGCCGCACTTTTGTATAAATACGCTGATTTACTTTGTTAATAGTATGAGTTGGTTCTGAGGTTTCTTTCATAATATCTTTTATATCTTACATGGTATCAGAGGTTCTTTAATGGCTGAGAGTGTGTCAAAACCGTTTACGCACAAGACCATCTCTATTCGTCTTGATGACTCAAACTATCTACTGTGGCAGCAGCAAGTTCTTTTTACCTGGGAAAGCTTGGCTCTCGTCAACCATGTTGACGGGACTCTTTCTGTCCCTCCTCAGCATGTGGTTGAAGCCGGTGTCAAGATCGTGAATGGGGATTATGTCTCGTATAAGCAGCAAGATAGCGCGTTGTGTTCTTGGCTTTTACCGTCGGTTAGTTCGTCGATTTTTCTGTTTCTTGTGAGTTGCATGTCTGCTGTGGAGATTTGGGAAAAGATTCAGCAATCTTTTTCCGTTTCCTCTACTACCAAGATCATGCATCTCCATTAATGTTCGTTGAAAACGCTTCGGAAACGCGATCAATCTATGAAGGAGTATCTTGCACAAGTTCAGGCTATTTGTGATAGCTTAGCTGCTTGTGGAAATCCGTTGACGGAGACGGTTCATATTTCTGCCATTCTTTCTGAGTTGCCACTGGGTTGCATAGTGGGCCGGGCCCTATACAGGTTTATCCCAATCAGTTTGGTAATTCGGGTGGTCAAGTTTCTAATTTTCATAACCCTAATGATCAGAATGGGTATGGTGTTTTTGGCGTTGGTCAGAATCTTCAAGGCGCTTATGCTCAGAATGGGTATGTTGGTTGTATGGTGCAACTTCAGAGGTCCATGATGTAAATGCAGTTGCTGTAACTGACGTGTTTGTCGCTTCTGGATATGGGGATACTGCCTGGTATCCAGACTCTGGAGCTACCACGCATTTGACTTCTGATGCAGGTAATTTTATTAAATCTGTGTCGTATCTTGAGTCAGGTAAAGTCTCTGTGGCTAACGGTATGGCAGTGTCCATTTCCAGAATAGGGCTATGTTGAGCTCTGGATCTCGATCCTTAGTGTTAAATGATCTCTTGCATGTTCCTTCTATTAAAAAAAACTCTGTTTCTCGTTTTACTTAGGATAATGGTGTTTCAATTGAGTTTTATCTTGACTCGTGTTGTGAAGGATTTGGAAACTCGACAGCTGATGTTGCGACTTGCGAGGATTGGAAAGTGAGGGTTTGTATGAGCTATCATCGATTGGTAGTGAGAAAATGCTTGGTATTGCTAAGGATGATCGGGTTTCTCTTGGTTGTATGGTTGCTGTCCGTCTTAATAACGATGACATGTATTCTAGTGAGGCTGCTGTTGATGTCTTGTCTGTGAATTCTTCACATGCTGATAATAGTGCCACTGCTAGGAATTGTGTTTACTCTGTAATTGCTTCTCATGATCATGATACTATATCTTCTAGTACTAGGAGTTGTGTTCCTGATGCTGATGTTTCTATGCCAGTTCTTGGGGTTTGTAATGTTAGTAGTTCTGTTTTGTGGCATCGTACGCTAGGGCATCCCTCTGCTAATGTTTTAGCTCAATGTTTGAAACAATGTAATCTTTCTGTTGATAAATAAATCTTTGTTTTGTGATGCTTGTCAATTGGGCACGAGCCATAAGTTGCCATTTCAAAAATCTGTTTCTGTTCATGATCAACCGTTGCATTTGGTTCAAATGGATTTCTGGGGACCTGCTCCATTAATTTCTAATAACTCGTGCTACTATATTAGTTTTGTTGACGCATGTACTCGGTTTACATGGATTTATTTTTTAGCTCGTAAATCAGATGCTCGTAATGCAGTTGTTTCTTTTCATACTATGGCTGAACGTCAATTTAATTGCAAGCTTAAAATAGTTCAGTCTGATTGTGGGTCTGAATTCAAACCTTTAGCTGCGTACTTTAATAGTCATGGTATTTATTTTTCAAACCTTTAGTAGAACGTAAACATCGGCATATTGTTGAACTTGGTCTTACTCTCATGGTCCAAGCTTTGATTCCTTTTAAATATTGGTCTGATGCTTTTTCTACTGCAGTTTTTCTCATTAATTGACTGCCATCTAAAGCCTTGAATGGTTTAACTCCGTATGAAAGGCTGTTCAAAAAATTACCTGACTATAATGTCTTAAGAGTTTTTGGTTGTAGGTGCTTTCCTCTGACTCGCCCTTACAACCAACATAAGCTCCAGTTTCGCTCTAAAGCGTGTGTGTTTTTGTGCTATTGTTCAAATCAGCACGGCTACAAGTGTCTTGATGATGAGGGTAAGGTTTATATATTGCGGCATGTTCAGTTTAATAGTGTCTTGATGATGAGGGTAAGGTTTATATATTGCGGCATGTTCAGTTTAATAAGGATGCATTTCCTTTTGCAGAGAAGTTGGGGGTTATCTTCGAGTTGTGCTGATGGTGAAAGGTTTGCTGCTAAGCTGGATTTTCCTAAAGGAAGTCCCTGTGTGAATATTCAAGCTGGTCGTGTTTCAAATACCTCTCAACCCGATGAGCAGTGCTTAGAAGACACAGCTAGAGAAATCAGTGATGCTACACTCGTTGGTGGATAATCAAGCTGGTCGTGTTTCAAATACGTCTCAACTCGATGTGCAGTGCTTAGAAGACACGGCTAGAGAATTCAGTGATGCTGGTTTACACTCGTTGTGTGATGATCCTCAGGCCTCTTCTTCTGTATCTCCTGTCGTAGTGGTGGCTGTAGTGCTTCTTCAGTGCATAGTCAATCTTTTCAGCAGTCTAGTCCAAATAATAATGATTTGGTGCAGCAACAGCCGCTTATTCCTTCTGATGGTCAACGTTCTATTTCTTCTAATAATGCAGAAGATGATCGAGGTCAACAATTACCAGATGATAATATTCAAGCTCATCCAAGCAAGTTCAGAATTCTCATCATATGGTAACTCGGTCGAAAGCTGGTGTGTTCAAACCTAAGGTATTTCTTGCTGAAGTCCCTGTCTCTGAACCGACTAGTGTTCACCAAGCTATGCAGTATGATTTTTGGAGGGAAGCTGTGGAAAAAGAAGTTGATGCCCTTATACAGAAAAATACGTGGGACCTTGTCAGTTTATCTGCTGATCATGTCCCAGTTGGGTGTAAATGGTTGCTTAAAGTTAAGAAGAACCCTGATGGTAGTGTTGCTCGATATAAGGCCCGGTTAGTCGCAAAAGGTTATTCTCAACAAGCGGGTCTGGATTATAAGGAAACATATAGCCCTGTTGTGAAACCTGTTATGGTTCGAATTCTACTTAGCATTGCTCTTAGCAAAGTTTGGGTGCTCGGGCAAATTGACATCGATAATGCTTTTTTGAATGGTAATTTTAGGGAGTTTCTTGTTAGTCGTATTCGGTATACTGCATCTTTGGCTGATTGTTCACTGTATTTTAGAGGAAATGATGGGAACAGAGTTTTTATTATGGTTTACGACGATGACATAGTGGCCACAAGTGATAATGAAGTAGACATGGTTATCAAGGAGATTAATTTGACTTTTTCGATAAAAGACTTGGGGAAATTGAATTTCTTTCTTGGCATGTCTGTTCAAAGTACTGAGCAAGGGGGTGATTCTTAGCCAGAAAAAGCATGTTTTGGAGTTATTGGAAAAATTGAAAATGTTGGAGAAAAACCCTACACCAACACCTATGGTTACAACACCTAACTTGTCTGCAGAAGAAGGTGATCCGTGTTTAGATCCAACTCTATATAGACAGGTTGTTGGCACTCTTCAACATGTCCATACAGTCTCCTCTCGATAAGCATTGGAAAGCGGTGAAGCGAATTGTTCGGTATCTCGAAGGCACTATGGAGCATGGTCTTTTCTTTAGTACGAGTCCGGCTCTTACAACGTTAGTTGGCTACTCCGACTCAGATTGGAGTACTAGTTCTGAAGATCGAAGATCAACAGCCGGTCATTGCATGTTTCTAGGGGGTAATCTTGTTGCTTGGAGTTCGAAGAGCTCATTTTTGGCGTATTTAAGTATGTAATTATCCCATGATTAAGATGAATTGGGTTTAAATCATTATTTGTTTTCATGTTGTTGCAGTGGTTTTATTTTTCTGTGAGAATTGATCAATTTTGACTATTAACTTACAAACGATCGATAAGATGATGACATGCAACACAATATTACATATTGATCAACTATTGCATAATGGTCAACATTGATCATCTTTTTAACTAAGTTTAAATTGAATTAAAACTTTTTAAGGGAACTTAATTGAATTTTAAAACTTTTGTCGAGGACTTGATTAAAATATTTTCATTACGTAAAATGTAAGTGTTGAAAGATCTTTGAACATCAGTATTAAACGCTAGGTTTCGATATTTAGATGGTCAATATCAATAGTTCAATTTTCCGGTAAAATGTATGATTTCAATAATTTGAAAATCATACAAAGAATAAAAATCTCTCTAACTTAAATGGAGGAAAAGAGTACATAGGTTAATCTATTACATCGAAGAAAAATGAAAAACAAGGCGAAAAACAAGCTAACAACTTAGCTAGACACCTTCATGTCTTCCTGTAACAAATTCATGATCGATGTTGGGGAGAAACAAAAACAATGTGATACAAGTTGTCAAAAGAAGCGTCCTTGGCCAAGGCATCCACAACTTTATTGTCATTGCGAAGCCCATGGTTAATACAAACACTCCAATTTCACAACCGAACACCCATTATAGTTGTCTCAATTCCCCAAGTCTATTTAAAAAAAAAATCCCTAATCCCTAAACCCTAAATCTCCAACACTCCTAAATTCCTTTGTCAAATCCCTTATACATTCACACCATATGCGTTCCCCACTGCCAAATCCCAGTTCTCACCTAAAATTCCTTTGCTTAAACTGTTCGTCAATTGTCGGCTATTAACGTGTCAAATTCCTTTGTATTTTTGCTTAAATTTCATGCGTTCTCACCAAGATGGTACTGTTATGCATTTGATTATGCACCGACATTCAAATTCTTTTCATCACCGATCGCTGTTATCGTTACCAAACTCTCGCTATTGATCACCCATTTATCATCTTCCAAAACCTTCAACTTAATTAAGTAATTAGCATGTCAGAGATTTGAGAATTAAAGTTTTATTATCTTGGGATGTTTTGTGTAAAATAAGAAAATTTAATTTTTTTAAAAATATGAATTTTATTTTTTTAAATGGTAAAAGATATTAAAATTTAGGATTAATTCATTCATTTTAATTGATTTTTAACGACCGTGCTAAATAATAACGTCGGAAGTGTTAGACACCTACATTGATTAAAAAAACTTTTGACACCTAAACGAGGAAAAAATATAGTTTAATCATTTTTAGGCTTAATTATAAAATAAGTGTCCAAATTATACCACTTTTCTCAAATAGGTGCCTAAACTTTTTTCGATTCATCCAGGTGTCTAATGTTACAAACGTTACCATTTTGGGTGCCCGGACTATAACGATCGCTAGATTATGTCATTAAATGACACATATCGCCTTTAAGTAATTTTAAAAATTTTATTTTAAATAAAAAAACTTATTTAAAAACACAATTTTAACAAAATCTTAAAAAAAAACTAAACTATGAAAACCCTAAATCTAATTCCTATATCCAAGTCATCGTCGTCCTTTACCGTTGTCGATTGGACCTACCCTCAACTGTACCTTCGCCCGACGACCACCCACAAGATGAACCACTATCGATTGTACGATTTAATATCGATCGACGACGCGACATTGAGAGAAATAATAACGACATTTACGCTATCCGACGACAAGAGCGACGAAAAGAACGATGTCAGCTGAAAAGGGAGGCGACATCGACGACATCGATCATGGTTGGGATTTAGGAATTTAGGGTTAGAGTTAAGGATTTAGGGTTGATTTTAGGAATTTGGGACTTTTTTATATTTTTTTTAAAAAAATATGATTTTTTAATAAATATAATAATATTTATATTTTTTTAATTTAATTTTTTTAAATTTATTTATAAAAACGACATGTGTCTTTTAATGATAAAATTTAACGACCATTACAACTTGAACATGTAAAGTGATAATCTTCGTAACTAATATGATTATTCTCTAAGTATGCTTTTTTCAATTATGCCAAAGCTAGATACGTTGACAAATGCTACGTGCAAACCATAGTTGAACATCAAGTTTTTTTTAAATAAATAAATAAATTATTAAAATTAATTCGTGCATAATATATTTATTTAAAGAAACTTAATGTTCAACTATGGTATATATATATATATTATATGAATCAATTTATTTTAGTAGGTAATTTTTTTTTATAGGTGACTGAACATTCCTTAAGAAATTATTTTAAATAAATAATATTTTATAATCATTTTAATTTATATATATATACACGCCAGTACCGGATTATAGCCCCCCTATCTTGGGCTTCACTCGAACCTACTACCTACGTGACATTAACCCATAAATCTACGGAAAAAGAAAGAACCTTCTGCCGGTTTCATTCCTTTTCTTTTTCCTATATGGACTCGCTCCGATTCAGCGAGTCACGAACAACGCGAAAAAACCCATTCCTTTAACTTGTTTTGACGTTGATTGAATTTAATCTTTGTTTTCCTTTATATCGAATAAGTCTCCAATTTCCCCCCTTAAATCGGCGATGGGTACTAAAAGGCCACGGGCGAGTGTCGACGCGGCTGTTGTTGATGTTTGGCAACGGGAAGTCGGGGAACTCTCAAATAGGAAATTCGCCCACCGGCTTGCTGCTTCCGAGGTCTAATCCCCTTATCCCACAAAATTTATCTATATTTGTGGTATCTTCCTATTGTTTTCGATGGGTTGATTATTATAGTTTATTTGTTGATGAAATTGAAACTGGGTAACATGAACTACATGGATTGCTGTGTTTAATTTTGGTTATTTTTTATTGACGGTGGGTTGATTCTACTTGATTTGTGTATTTATAACTACCGTTGATCTGGATTCGAAAAACTTAATGATGGGTGACGAACAATGGAAATTAGTAATCATAAAAATGTCTTCCTTTAGAATGATTTTGTTAAAAAAATAAAATTATCTCCTGAACCTGAATGAATAAATATATATTTTGGAAATTTATATTTAAAAGTTAAATTCAAATGCCAGCATTTTTTTAAATAATTGCAATTATTTTTAATCTTATATATTGTCATATTTTACTGAGAAACTCAGATAACATGTGGTAGCTTATTGTGTTGAGTGAATGGATATGCTTATTGCACTGTTATTGGCTTGTAAATACTGGACAAATGTGTAAAAAGTTGAAGTCACAAATTTTATCCTTTACAAAGTCCCATGTTGCATTTGGTTTTGATTAGTTAATTGGTTTATGTCCCAGGATCTTGTGCTCCGATTTGAAATTTTCAAGAAACTTGAAAAGCATCAAGGTTGTGTGAACACTGTGAGCTTTAATGCTGATGGTAACATTTTAGTCTCCGGCTCCGATGACAAGAGGATTATACTATGGGATTGGCAAACTGGGCATGCTAAACTTACTTTCAAGTCAGGTCATTCGAGCAACGTATTCCAAGCAAAATTCATGCCTTACGCAGATGATCGTAGCTTGATTACTTGTGCTGCAGACGGACAGGTGAATTGCTTATTTAGGCCTGCAGCATTTTTTTTTAAAATTCTGTAGGACCAATTTGAGATTCTTCTGTTATATTATTTGTGGTGATAAGCAACAAAGTCCTAAAATTTTCTGTTAAACTGCAAGACTTTTATATGCTTCTCAGGATGACCATTATTGCATCTATGAGTTTTGTCTCTTAATTTATGAAGGAAAATGAGGCTTGGACTACCAAAAGTTTTTTTTTTTTTTAAAAGTGCTAAGGAGTAGGAAGCTAATATGTAGCATGTGCTTAAGCAAATACCACCATAAAGTGAATCGAAGAATTCTTGTTCTAACTAAAGACCATTTCCTAATCGTAGGTTCGACATGCTCAGCTGTTGGAGCGTGGTGTTGAAACTAGGCTTCTGGCCAGACATGAAGGACAAGCTCATAAATTGGCCATTGAACCAGGAAGCCCTCATATTTTTTACACTTGTGGTCAAGACGGATTAGTGCAGCATGTGAGTTGTGTTTTAAGTCATCATTTTTTATATTTGATAATTTAAGAACAATCATAGGAATGAAGAAGCAAAATCAGTTGGTTACTGAACTTTTATTCAGTCGTATGCAGTTGAATTGGGTAAAGTTTTGAGAAGTTCAATTCTAATTTCAGATTGTCTGCAATTGATTTTTGTTTTCCTATTTTTCCTAAACCCGTTTTTCTTTGAAATGGATACCGGCCGTGTAATAGTGGTGTTTTATATAAATGAATATAGGTCAACTCCATTCTCATGTTATTCTTATTGTTCTATGATGATCTAGCTATTATAATCTGATTTGTTGTATTATGGTCTAGCTTCTATAACCTGATTTTTTGTCTGCACCTTTGCATAGCTGACTTATAGAGCCCTTTTATACCTTGCCTTTCAGATTGATCTTAGAACTGCAGCGGCTACACAACTTTTTACATGCCATTCAATTGATGTTAGCAAGGCTGACCTGCCGGTTGTTCCTCTCAATACTATTTCAATTGATCCAAGGAACCCAAATCTCTTTGCAGTTGCTGGATCGGATGAGTATACTCGCCTTTATGATATTCGCAAATATAAGTGGGATGGCTCAACTGATTTTGGTCAACCTACAGATCATTTTTGCCCCCCTCATTTGATTGGTGACGATCAAGTTGGTATAACTGGTTTGGCCTTTTCAGATCAGAGTGAGCTTCTTGTCTCCTACAGTGATGAGTTCATTTATCTCTTTACCCAAGATATGGGACTGGGCCCCAATCCAGTTCCTTCTCCATCCTCTGCATGTAGTGAAGCAAGTGAAGTGGGACCTGACCACTCTGCTATGGAAGCTGATGAAAAAGTTATTCCTCAAGTTTATAAGGGACATAGAAATTGTGAGACGGTGAAGGGTGTGAGCTTCTTTGGACCCAAATCCGAGTATGTGGTTAGTGGATCCGATTGCGGACGAATATTTATTTGGAAGAAAGGCGGAGAGCTTGTTCGTGTTATGAAAGCAGATAAACATGTGGTCAATTGTATTGAGTCTCATCCTCATACTGCAGTTCTGGCTAGCAGTGGAATTGAGAACGACATCAAGATATGGACTCCAAAGGCTATTGATAAAGCTGTGCTTCCAACAAACATTGAACAGGTATGCCTTGTCTTAATCTCTTGCATTGTGATAATAATGACAATAGCAGCAGCTGCAGCAGTGCTGGTAATACTTTTTGGGTTATAAATAAGGTATAGCTTAAGACATGAAATGCATTCTACTGTAGCACAATGCTTATTGACACTAGAATAAAACAGTGGAAACATCCCGAATCCTTGTTCCTTTTTGCTTATATCTTCTCCAATAGAGGCAAATATTTGTGATTTGGTTCATGGAATAGAACTGTAGAGTTGCCTGTTACAAAAACGTAGTGAGCTAAGGTCCGATGACAGTTTTTGTTTAGTTGACCTTAGAGATAAATTTATTTAATCTCTTTAGTCCATCCATTCTTTCACTCTAAAAATACTCGTGTTCTCCTAGCATACTGTGAAAGTTAAGAAATCTGACCTGTATTGTAGATGCCAAGGTAGTTTACTATCAAGTAAGACAAGGAAAGTTGGTAATTAGTGCCAACATTAGCATGCTATTTTTTATTGTCTAAATTCGCACAGATTGGTTGGAAATGACAATATCCATTCTAAAGATGCATGAAATTGAGAAGTAGAGGAGCTGATCTCTCTTCCATTACTTCTTTGCAAAAGGTTTCAAAACGTGGCCTCTTTCATTTGTTGCCCTTTTCTGCATTCTACGAAGATGACGACGACGACGACGACTATGACTGTTTTGGTGGTGGTATTGTTGAGTATTCTGATGATGAGGGTGAGGAGGAAGATGACTCTGATGATGAGGGTGAGGAAGATGACTCTGATGATGATTATCTTGATGTTTATGATGAGATTGATGATGATGATGATGACGACAACGAAAATGACGGTGATGATGTCAACGAAAATGACGGTGATGATGTCAACAGTGAAGACGTTGAGAGTGGTGATGATAGTGATTGTAATGATGGTGGTGGTAGCGATGATGATAGCAATGCATGCTAGAAATCTTGGCTGTTATGATGATACTGACAATTAATGATTTAAATTTTGCACTTTCTGTGACCAGTTCAAACCAAAACCTCGGGGCTGGATGTATCGACTAACGATGCCGCATGACCTGATGCTGCACTTATTTTCATTACAAAGACAAGGGACTAGCCCAGAACGGAATGAAGAAAATGCATCGGCAGTAGGCAGAGAACTTCTAGATCTTAGAATGGCATTCAATTCCAACAGTGACAACGCTTCAGATTGATGGAGGGAATGGTCCAGAGGGGCTCTTTTAGTTGAGTGGTTATATGCTATGGTAACTATCAACTACAAATTGTACAAAAATAAAACCTAAACTGAGTGGAGTTTTACAAATTTGTGTTCACTGCTCTGCTTTTACGATATTTATGTGGCTCTTCTATTCTGTCTATTTCATTTCCTTGGCAGTAGTAGCACATGATCTTTCACTAGCTTTCTTATATCTAAACCTCTGTACTGTTTCTGTTGTTTTTGCCATTGGTATTTGAAGGAGCTCTCCCCATCGTCAAACTTTGAACGAAGGCAATCATCTGTCCAACAAAAGCAAAAGAAATCGTTTTATTTGCACAAAACTGCAAAACGACATTACAAAACAATGATAAAAAAGAGTGAAATTATCATGTGCATCAGTTTATCATCTAGAAAGTTCATACCAAAGTGATTGCTATGCAAATGATACTAAATCCAGGGAAATGAAATGGTGCTTCTTCCGACAGGAACAATGCTGGATGAACACACAGAAACTGGTCATAAGTAATTGTCGATCAACGCTAAAGTTTTGAGGAAGAAAATGCCAGTGCGTTTACACACCTGTCAAAGGACTGAAAATCAACGGACTGATGATATTGGCCAAAGACGTTATGCCGGCGATGCACCCCTGTGCCTTTCCCTGATATATTGTGCTTATACCGGTTCAAACCAGGAACTAAGACGATCGAAATACGAGAAAATTAGGAATTGATCAGTTAGAATTACCTGGTCTCTGGGGCCAACTTGTTTTGATGCAATACTTTGCAACTATAGAATTCGAAAGTTCCAACGTCAAGCTTTTCCGATGAACAGAACAAAACTTGTAATGAAATGGAAGTAAAGGAACTTACCGACGGCGGTGCAAAGACCATGAGGGTAGTCAATGCAGTTGCAGCATATGGGATCTGCATGAAAATGTCCGATGACAATTGTCTGTCTGTGCATCAAATGAAGCTAGAGTTTTTTTATGGAACTTACCCAAGCTGACCAGGCTATACTGTAAAGAAAGGCCTGCATAATACCAGGTGCAAATTCATCAACGGCTTCTAAACACGTTGTCACAATGTCATCAGCTCAAAACGAAGTATTGTCGGATGGATTAATTAATACGAAAAGCCGAGTAAGGTGAGAATCCGATTCTTACGTATATACAGGCGACGAAAAGTCCTACCGAAAGCAACCTTCCATCTCCTATGCGAGATGCCAGTAAGGGCATTAGAAACAACTGCAGAATTCAGAAACATTATAAGAATAACCATGTAACTTCAATCTAGATGATTGAAAAACATCGAATCGTACAAGAAATGAACCGAAAAAAGCGTTTAAACCTGGGAAATGGTTGCTAGAATTCCACTAATTAGCATCAAATCAGCAAACTGGTTCTTGTTAAAGTGGAAACGAGCCTTTATATAGTACTGTCAGGGAAGAAATAAACTATGTATAGTTGGATCATCATAAGGGATTTAGATCATAATTTCACAGCTAGAAAAGAAGTCCATACCTGTGATGAAGATTCCATCCCACCCTCTCCAAGATAATTGAAGAAAGCAACAACTGCAGCTTGGGCTAATGATGGACTGAAACAACAGCATTTTTAGTCGAATCACATTCGAACGGACATTTAACGACGAAAGCTAAGAACATACATGCAACCCCTATTTACCTGTTCTTCAGCAAGCAAATAACACCCCCCAGGGATGGAATTTTCTTGAATGAGGACATTTTTGCCGGTGCATTACCGTCCTTTCGAGTAACGTCTTCTTCCTCTTCTCTCAAGATCGGTTCGATTATCCCTTCGGCTTGATCTGCAGGTATACTTTCTTCAAGGAATATTCTCATGTACACCACAGCAAACAGTGATACAAATGTAGCAACCTGCAAGGATTTGATACAACAATGAGCAAAGGTACATACAGGGCTAGAGGATTCTAAACAAAGATCCATGGAAACCTGAAATGCTAAACCGACGGATAAGAAACGAGCCGCCAAGGTTCCGCAGAGATAAGATCCCGAGGTTACTCCGGCAAGAACTCCGAACGCAGATGCTCGTCGGTTATACGAAACATTGTCTGCCTGCAAAGAAAAGACAACAAATTCAAACAGACAATATGAGTGACATATGCTTGAAATCTGTTGAACATTGTGAATACAATGTAACTAAGGATGATATTATAGGGTTATTACCAAATACGCAAGAGCAATGCAGTTAATGCTGCCTTGACAGATCATGGCAGTGAGAATCTTTAAGGCATAATAGGCGTAAAAATAACCGGTTGTTCTGTTGCATGCCAATATAGCTGTACAAGAAGATGGTGATATAAGTTGGAAAAAAAAACAATACGCTTAAAATGTAAAGGAACTTTAATTTGAGGTTTTTCAAATCAAAATAGTATCTCTTCGAAACATTTTCAGCTCATTTGATAATGAACATTCAAACACTCATGGGTTCAAACCCGAAACTTTTCAAGATAGCAGACATCTTCTTAGCTACTGAGATAATTTATTTAAGTTAAATTTAAGAATATATCAAATTAAAATCTTATCAACAATATGCTTAAATTTTAAGTTAGAAGACGTAACTTTTCTTGAATTTAATCGAGTTTTATTCACCTTTAAATATAAATTTAAGTAATAAGACAACTTTTATACGATTGCAGTTGCGCCAGGTCAAATGAAATGCCAAAGGATAAAAGGACGTGAACAGGCTCACATTTTTATCATTTGCTTAACACCAGTGTTTGAACAAAACAATAGAAAAAGACATGAAAATGAGGGGCTTAAATTAAACTGGGAACCATAAGGTTACTCGCCAACCACACAACTCATCCATGCATTAAGAAATAACTTCTGGTTCATGGATGGTGAATAGGCCGTAAATGAGATGAGACAGATCGCGAGCTATTCGAGATCCGTTAAATTAAAGTCTAGTAAATATTCGAATCAAATAGATTTTATTCGAATTCTCAACGAGCCAAAGTGAACTACTTGATACTCGATTCAAAAAGCTCACGAATTACTTGAAAAAATAATAAAATTTTAGGTTTTTAAATTAAATATTAATAATTTATATATATTATTTTTTTTAAATACAATATAAGACTTTCATGTATTTAAGATTTAGGTCTAAGTTCGAGTTGAACTTCAATTTTTTTTTAATTTCTAACGACATTTACAAATTCTAACCTCACGAATTTCGAGTCAAATCAAATTTAATTTTAAAATTTTTCAATTGAACTTAACAATACTCGAACTCTACCCATTTATAAATTTGTCCAAAAATCAGGTTGCGTGTCTAAATTCAGAGAGAAAAACGAACAAAATATTAAATACCATAAATACTTACCGGAGGGAATGATGGACAAAACCATAGGTAAGGTTAGTAGAGCCTTTCTCCCATACTGATCCGACAGATTCCCGATAATTGGCAACATCAAGGTCGTCCCTACTCCTGTTACCTGGCATCATCAGGGCCGTCCAACGTAATTGACATTAAAGATCTCGTATCAGACCCGTACATGATTTTGAAATATCCCCTTTTTATTTTTTTAAAAAAATAAAAAATCTAGTCTTTCACTTTAAGGGTACGTTTGATTCACGGAATGTAAGATTACCAGTGAGAATAAAAAATTACCAGAAAATAGGATTACTAGGAATGTTATATTTTGTGTTTGGTTTATTTAGCAGGAATGTAAGATTACCGTGTTTGATTAAAGGAATAAAAAATTATTAGAATATATATTTGACCAAATTATCCTTATTATATATTTGTATAATATTATAAATTGTAAAATATTTATATATTTTCTTTAAAAAATTAAACTCATAATATTTATATAATTTTTTTTTACAAAATTAAAAATATAAAAAAATTTAATGAAATGGCAAAAAAATTTTAACCCCTCAACTTCATATAAAATTTTAATTATAGATTTTTTTTTGTAAATCTAAAATAATTTAAAGATAAATTTATAATTTAACATTCGTAAAATTTTTATTATTCAATTAAAGAAGAAGAATATTTTTGAAAAAAAAATAAAAATTTAAGTACATTTTAGTCTAAAACGTCGGTAATGTTACAATATCTAAGGAAAGAGAAATAATAACATTCCCGGTAATATATCCCAAAAAATTTATTATTGATAATAAAACATTACTGGAAATGAGATTCCCGACCAATCAAATATGAGAATGTGAGATTCTCATCAGAATCCCACAATCTTTAAACCAAACACCCCCTAAAAGAATTAAGAATTTTTATTTACTTTAATTTATCGGAATTTAATCTTACTACTATATGAAAATGAAAAGAAATTAAATATTTCTTTTTATAAATTATTGATTTGATTTATTAATTTTCGTAAAATAAGATTTTTATTTTATTTTTATGTGAAATAGATTTGTTGGAAATCCATTCAAGAGTCAAAAATGGCAATTTCCATGATAATGATTCAAAACTAAAAACCAAACAGTTAACCGTATTCCATATGAATACTCAACTCAACTAATAAAAACTTGCAAGGTGTGCACTTTTCTCCCATGTACTGACTTTTATCGTAAATTAAGCTGTAATAATAATTTTGGCCATCAAAAATTTTCAGACATTTAGTTTCTTTTTAGTTTATTCGTTAAATTTGGTAAAATAAAAATAAAAAAATTGAACGTAAAAAATTAGACTTAATTAAAAAATAAATGTCTAAATTATATTATTTTTTTCGAATAGGTATCCAAACTCTTTTCGAACCATTCAAGCGTCGGTCATCTCTTTGATGCCCAGATTGTAATGGCTGTTAAAACTTCTTTAAATGACATATTTTATATTTATTTTTTTATATATTTTTAAATATAAAATTAATATTTTTAAAAATTTTAAATTCTGAAAAGTAATCTCGAATTTTTAAAAGCTCTTGTCCTAATCCACTTACTCCAACAGTCGAATGTATCACTTTAGGTGTCCGACGATAACGACAGTTAAAACCTCGTTAAATCACATAAATCATAAACCACTCACTGATCTATCATAAATTTTACTATCATCTCAAAACTCAAAATTCACAATTTCCTACATTTTAATTCACAAATACCTAATTATGACAGCCTATCGGTTGCCCATTTGGTAGACCGTTTAGTCGTTCATTTTGCCGTTTAGCCATGGAAAACTGAAAAGCAAGCAGGGGAGATAGAGGGGGACGCCGGATGGAAAATGTTTTTTTTAATATTTTAATAATATTTTTATTTTTAAAAAATATCAAAGTTCTGTAAACGTGAGATATGTTCCTTGACGGAATTTTTTAACGGCGAGACACAAGACAACATTTGTAACATTAATCACATGGATGATTCTAAAAAAACCGGCACTCATTTAAGATAAATGGTATAATTTAAGCACTTATTTTTTAATTAAGCTAAAAAAATTAAAGAGTAAAATAAATCCTTTTGTGGGAAGAAATATAATTCAGCATGAATTACTTGAGCAAATGAGGTAACTAATAAGATTGAAAAAGGAAAAAAAGAAGAAGAAAAGATTCGAACAGGAAGAAAGGGTTGTTAAATTGGAGGAGGAAAGAAAGAGGTTCTTAATTGCTTCTGAGTCGATCCATTCTTGTTGGAAATAATAAAAGAAGTGAAAATGATGAGTTGGAGCACTGTGAACAAGTTTTTCTCTTTGATTTTCTAAAAAAAGGGGAAAATTATTTATTGTTTGATTAGGAAAAGGCGAGAGAATAGTCTAAAGCAGAAGATTAGAAACGTACGGCTTGTTGAAACCCGGAGAGGTAGATGGCGAGGGAGCATTCATCGGAACCAGGGCAAAGGGCGGCCATCGTGACGTCGGTAATGACCGGAGATACGATTAAAGTTGCAAAACCTGTCAGGAATACTGTCACGAATAGATGGCCCAATCCCCTTAGACTCTTCGGATCCATCTCTCTTTCTCTCTTAAGAAGCAACTCCACTAAATCTGAGAGGGGCAAGCATTTATACAATCACGATGCGACGGTACAAGGCAGATATTTTAACGCACAATGTTTGGTAAACGAGTCTTTTGTTAAAGTTATAAAATAGTTATTTAATTATTTATAAATTTTAAATTTGTTCTCTTTTATTAAATATTAACCGTCATTCAAGATAGATGTTAACATGTTAAAGTTAAATTTGTTCTTTTCGAGAACTAGCTCGACAAAATAGTGTTTCAACATTAGCTCGATGTCATAATATAAATGGAGAGTTTATTTACAAAATACAACTCAAACGATTACGAGATTATATTTTATTATATCTTAATCAACAAGTTAATGCTCAAACTCAGACGACCATCATTTTATTAACGAAAAAAGACAATTTTAAAATATATAAATAATCGGGTGATCATTTTATAATTTTAATAGTTAAAAAACTAAATAAAATAATACTTTATAGTTAAAAATTTATTTTTAATTTTTAATAATTAAAAAATTTAACGAAATAACATTTTATATTCGAAAACCATTTATGTAATTTACCCTTGACACATTTATGATTAGATTTTAGTGAAAAAAATATATTATATAAAAATATATTTAACTTTTTTCAACGAATTATTACGACAAATAATAGTCATTTGTATACAAATATTTTAACTTCATATTCAATTTTTAGTTAATTTTGAATTATTTTTAAAATAAAAAAATTATATTTTAATATTATTTATTACCGACACCATAGATATTTTTGATTAAAATTTGCTTATTACCTTGCACGTGTTTATTGAGTTCATACAAATTATTTATTGATTTAAAAATTTTAATTCAATTTTCGACCCATTGATATTCTCAATTAAAATATACTTATTACTCTACGTATGTTTATTGAGTTTATAAAATGTACTTCTGGGTTTGATATGATTGTATTGTTTGGACATATTAGTAATAAATAGGGAGTAATATTTTTTTTGGAATAAAAAGTTCAAAATAAATGAAGAAAATAAGCATGCTCTATATAGTTGATAATCATTAAAGTATTAAAAATACGTGTTGATTTAATGCGATGAGACTTTGGATTCTTTAAATAAAGTTAGATGTTTGAATATTGACGTTTGTGGATGAAACAAACTGAATTAAAAATATCGTTATCACATTTGCAATACACAATCTAAAATAATCGGTCAATATATCATACTACGATTAATTCAAAATATTAAAAGTCGAATGTGGATGCACGGTCCCTAGTGCACCACGGAGGAGACAAAGAAATATTGAGTGCACGGAAGGTTAACTGCTGATTGGGAAATGAAACAAAGACTTATAAGTAGAATTATTATTCTCTCATAAAAATCAAAATAAGAAAGGAGGCGCAATAGAATCGTTACATACAAAGAAATATAACATTTTATGATACGAGGGATTAATTATTTTACGCAAGTGATCGATCTTTTTTTTTTAAAATATTCAAACGTTGTCAACGAAGGGATTAATCTTTTAAGAGAAGAGATCAATTAATTTTATTGAGAGATCGATCATTCGAGGGAAGGAATTTATCATTCAAGGGAATGAGTTGATCCTTTTAGCCTTCCTAGAAAGGGATCGATCCTTTTGTGGCATAGAACGGTCCAATGACTACTATGATCACAAGGATCGATCCTTGCACCAAAGTGATCGATTATTTGAACAAAAAATTAAGAAAATTAACCTTTAAGCGCAAAAACGATGGAGTAAGTATTTGATAAAGTTCAACTAAATTAAAAAAATTTAAAATATACTTTTAAGTTAATTTTGACGTTGAACTATTTTTGAAAATTTTAATAAATTTATTCAAATCTAAATCTGGTTTATTATCACTATCAAGTGGATAATCTATTTTTCTACATAATATAGTATTGACATGAACCTCGATAAAAAATCTCCTTATACTTAAATAAAAGAAAAACGAGTACTACATGTGGATGCCAAAAAGAGATACAATCGAACAAAACAATCCAATGGGAATATACACTATACACCTCAACAGCAATGATAACCGAATACCAGCGGTAGTGCCACTAAAACTATCTTAAACCAAAACAACCCAAGCTCACCACAGGTTTGATTTGACCGACTTATACTATTCGAGAAGAGTTAGGACACAGTAAAATGTCGAAAATATGAAGGGATCTGGTCATCTATTTTTACACCAACAGCTTATTCTCACCAGCGCTGTGTGAATTACATAAATGTAATGCTACTTTTGTGCGGGTTCACAAAATTTCATGGCGACTACACCAATTTCTCTCTTGATTCACCCGACTATTGACATTATGCTGGGGTGATTCATGGGATCTGGGACCATTACGGCTTTGAAAAGAAGAAAGAAGGGTACTGGTGCATCTTCCGTTGTGTAACACGCTTGATCATGATAATTTAGCATGGCCGGTGGCCAGGAAATGTCTTTATTAGGTCCCCGCCAGCCACTATAAAATCCCGATGCCATCAGTTAGAATGCTTAGATTTCAATAATGTTCGTCTTAGGGTGATTAATGAGTTGAGCAGCTCCTGAGCAACTCAAACTCGATTAACGAGTATAAGTGGAGCAAAATTTTAATAAGCTTAGAGTGCAACGAATCGAATTGGGAAAAAAAAAATTTAACGAGCATGAATTGAGCACTGTCCAACTCCAACTCACAATTCACTCACTCAATAATCACTTCAGCCTCCGAAGCAATAGCAGAAAGTAAGATGGGGTCACAGTTACTTCAAGATTTTGAAAAATTATTAATAAATTCATATTAATTTAGGGTAAAGTATACAAATAATCATTCGACTATAAGGTGTTGTTTTTCTGAGTCACTCGATACAAATTGATCCTCGGCTATAGGATATTGATTTGTTGAGTCAATCTACTATTAAAAGTTACAAAATGGTCATTCGACTATTCATTATGTTTCAAATTTCATTTTTTATTTCGCTAAAAATTTGACGGTTGTCTGAATTGGATGTTAATATGCTATTTGGGATATAAAATTTGATCATAGAATCTCAAACGACGATCATATCTCAGATAGCATATTAACATCTGACTTAGATCGTCGTTATTTTTTAAGAGAAAAGGACGAGTTTAGAACATAATGAATAGTCGGGTGACTATTTTGTAATCTTTAATAGTCGAGGGACTTAACAAAGCAATATCCTATAGTCAGTGATCATTTTGTAACTTTTGATCATAAGGGGACTTAACAAAATAACACCCTATAGTTGAGAGACTATTTGTATACTTTACTAATTAATTTATTCAGCCCATTAAGAGTTTTTATTACCTCATTGGTTAAAAGAATATATATTTTTCTTAGAGGTCACAGGTTCGAACACCAGATCTTATAATAAGTTGATTTAGTGTTCATTATTAAATTATTGAGAATATTTAAAATAGATATTAATTTATAATCAATTTAACTTGATAAAAAAATAATAAACCCTTCAAAGTCGAATGTCAAGATCTACCACTACCATTGCTCCAAAGTCTCCCACCAAGCTTATGGGTTTTCATCTTTTAATCTTGGGTAAACTACACATTTAGTAATTAAACTATTATTTTTGTTCTATTTAATATCTAAACTTATTTTTTTCAAAACCATACCTAATATTTAGTTTAAATTTCAATTTGGTATCTCATCGTTAAAAGATTAATAGAACTACTGACGTAACATTTTTTATTTTTCAATGACAATGCGACATTACCTTGTGGTGACACGTCAATATCATTGTTAACTTTTTAACGGTAGATTACCGAATGAAAACCTAAACTAAAAAATTATGTATAATTTTGAAAAAAAAAACAAAGTTTGAGCACCAAATCAGAATAAAAAATAATTTAGGTACTAAATATATAGTTTACCCTTTTATTTGGCACTTGTTCTACTATCATCATGTTTCATAATGCATAAAAATCCAATTTCTTCATTGCCAAATCCAAATATTCCACCTTTTTCTCCTGGTAGAGAAACACTCGAAATTAGTGTTCGCTTCATCCGTACACTTGCAGAAAAAGGAAGAGAAATAGTTGGATTTTTAGTAGTTTAGTTCATAATCATATGTTCCATATAATGACGAGAGAAACTTTGATTCCTTGCACTAAACGAATTCATATCTCTTCAATTATGGCTATGGCGTCTGCAAAATCATCTCCATTAAACATTCTCTTGTTGTTAACATCGATGATTCTGTTTCTTCAACCCATGCTCTCTGTAAACATTAATTTTTTTTTACTATTATTATTTTTGTTTTATTATTATTATTTTTATTAATATTAGTATTATTATTATTATTATTATTTTTTTTATTAATATTATTATTATTATTATTATTATTAAATAAAAAAATATATATATAATAAAAATATTACAAGGCCCAAAACTGGGGCCCGATTACAATTGGCCCAGCAGAGCCCAAACCTTTAGAGTTTGTAACATTCAGCTAGGGTTGTCTAAACCCTAGCTTCCAGACGCCGCCGCCGCTCCAAAGTTCCAGTGAGTTTCAGCCGCCTTGCCGACGCTACAGTGCCACGATGACTCCAACAGAAGACTCCAGAAGCTCTGTTGCAACGATAACAGCCGCCCACGTCGAGCTCTATGATGAGTCACCACCATAGCTATGGTGACTCACCAAACTCGACCCTCTATTGTCCGGTCCGACGAGAGCCTCGGTGGTGGCTATAAAAGCCACCACACCTGCAAGAGATCAACAGGGACGGAGAGAACAGAGGACGACAACAAACAAAACAGAAAAAAAAATAGAAAACGAAAAGAGGACAGCCAGCAAACAGGAGACAACAGCAAGCAATCCAACCACCATCAAACACCAAAATAACGAGATAAAATCGAAAGAACCTACCGAGGAAAGCCACATCACCACCGGAGTAACCACGCGCCTCCGCTCCAACAAACCTTCGAAAACCGAAGGTATTTTTGTAGATTTGCTCCGATTGAGAGC